TACTAAAACAAGAAGTGATTAAAAAAAAATCATGCATATGAATGATTATCTCCTTATAACGATGAAAAAACTATTGTGAAACAAATATAAAGCTGTTGTTATTGTTGGTCCCTCCCTTGTCACATATTGAGGAAACTCAGAAGGACTCAATTATTTTTCTACCCTGGATATTCAAAATGCATATCATCAAGTTTTGCTGGATAAGTGGGGACCTTACGCATTTATTACCCATGGGGGCATGTTGTGTTTCAATTATTCAACTTATGAATTAGCTTCAGCCATTAGTTGATTTCAAACTCTCATTGACATACCTGGTGTACAGTACTATCTGGATGACAGTTTAGATAAACTCAGCTCACATAGTATATCAAAAGAGGGACTGTTAATACATGCTGAACATGTAAGAGCTGCGATACAAGCACCTACTATATTGAACTGTCAGACCTTACATGCTCTCTAGGGTCTTACTTTATGGTATTCCCAATTTGTTTCCAACTATGCATTACTTGTTGAGCCATTAAGTGCATTACTATATGGAAAGCAGGCATGGTCTGGTCAGAGACAACCCAGAACAGCATTGAAACAGCTCATCATAAGCAATCCAGCAGTAAACTGACCAGAATTCGATTAATACAATCCTTCGGATGTGCACACCTAGCAGAGGACATTTTTCAGTGAAACTGGAAACTTTTTCTTATTACTATATTTTTATTACATGACATGAGCAGAACTGGTATCCTTACAAAGTTCATAGTGTTTGTGCAGAAAAAGAACTTTTTTCTTCTGAAATGTTCCACTGTTATAGCAGAATGGTAAAAAAAATGTACATTAAACTATACTGTATACCTCTTATTAAATCAAGATTCAAAATGTAATATGGTTTCATAACATTCAATATTCTGTAGATCATGGAATTAAGATAATCAAATAATTCTTGATATTTCTAATTAGTATAACTGAAACAAACATTGTAGGTATGTTGACTTGAGTACTAACCAAGGCCTTTCCGAGATGGTAAGTTAGGATTAAAATATATATTGACTATATTTTGATGTCAACCAAATAGATCAACAATAATCCCAGCCACGGCACCACCTGCATGTTCTCCCTGTGCCTGCGTGGGTTTCCTCCAGGGACATGCTGGTAGGTTAATTGAATCCTGTCTAAATTGGCCCTAATATGTGTATGTATGAATGTAAGTTAGGGACCTTAGATTGTACACCCCTTGAGGGTTAGGGACTGATGTGAATGTACAATATATATATGTGTAAAGCGCTGAGTAAATTGATGGCTCTATATAAGTGCCTGAAAATAAAAAAAATAAACAATAATGAATATATTCAAAAGTATACCCGTTATCCTGTCAGTTATACATATATTGTTAAACCTGCATTAGAAAACGTCTTTAGTGCAATCAATTGATCTGCAATGCCTGACAGCTCCACTGGCATTCACAGCCATTTTCCGAAACTGACTCTAGGGAGAGGTAAAGGAGATTGAAATGGAATAGACTGGAGTTAACAGAACTGTCTGAAAGCAAAGTGAGATCTTTCCCAACCTTCACTATGACGGTGCCTGCAGAGTCACTAAATTTAAATCACTGTACTGCATTTAAAATGTCCAAGCTTCGGTCAGAAGACTCCCTCACCTAACCTCTGACACCTCTCTGACTAGTCAGTGAGGGCTCAGATCCCATTTATAGACAAATAGGCTAGGAAAGCAATATGGGAAGGGTTAATGCAACTTCATCAGATAAGTCATATTCCAGGATCAACTGGTATTTTTGACATGTAGCTCTTACTGAAGGTAAATTTTGCTTACACATTTTTAGCATAAGCTTCATTTGAATTACTCATGTTTTGACAGGTGTACTTTGATACTTCCAAAACTTTTAAGAAATGGCTTCTAGGCTTTATGAATCACTTTATTGAATGACTACAAGACTTTGCAAAGCACTAAAGTCTATTTTATATTATGTGTTATATATGTTCTCCTAAAGTCACATTATTAGAAAAGAGCTATGAGTAACATTCACAAATATATATGAAAAGATATCAACAGCTCATGAGAAAAGGTAATTCCTGAGCTAAAACATTGATGATGATGATGGAAGTATTTTTTTCTATGCACAGCAAACTTCCAGTCTGTAAGCCTGTAGAAGGACACTGCAGGGAACATTGAAAGCCAAAAGTAACAGGTATCTGAGCCTTTTACATTGTCAAAATCTCAAGTTTTGTTAAGGTATGCAAACCTTTACATATATATTTGTGGATATTACAAGTTGCCTTTATAATGTACTGTTTACAATGTCCTTCCATCTTTACTTTTTCCCATAATAGTTGGTATGTTTGCAACACATTAATATAAATTAGATGAATCAATCGCACATTCAGAAAGTAACATGTTTTTGTGTGTATGTAGACCAAACTGTGTTGCAGAACTCTCAATTTTTTTCCCTGGTATAAGGTGGCAGTCACATGTAGGGGCATTATATGACTGTTAAATGACACATGAACATATACTCTTATATTGCAAGATTGTGTATGTTTGTGTACAGTAACGGGCAGAAAGCCAATAGTGGCTAGATACTGACTTATGTGGTTATAGCCACTGTGGAGAAATTCTTCTCAAAGTTCGCAATAGAAGCAGTAATGTTGTTCAAGACAGTCTCCGCAATTTTCTCCTTCCCCTTTTCTTCTGCACCTGCTCTGCAGATAATCAACTCAATGCTGGAAGAGATAACTAAGCTCTAGTGATAACATGAAAGTAAAATTGGGACGCTTTGGCTGCCCATAGCTAGAAAGGTCAGTGAGGGATAGGTTTAAAGTTTATTTTTTGCTTGTCAAGAATATGGAAATATTTAACTACATTACCTATTTACATTTCTGCCTTAAACACCTACATATGGGACAGTGGGTAGAAATTAAAAACATTTTTTGTACTACATAGTTACATAGTTAGTCTGGCTGAAAAAAGACAAAAGTCCATCCAGTTTAACCATAGAAAAAAAAGTTACAATCCTATACCCACAGTTGATCCAGAGGAAGGCATAAAAAGCCCAACAAAGCATGATCCAATGTGTACCTGCTGGGAAACAAAATTCCTTCCTGAACCCCCGAGAGGCAATTGGATATTCCCTGGATCAACTTTACCTATAAATGTTAGTATCCAGTTATATTCTGTGTATCTAAGAAACAAGCCAGGCCTTTTTTGAAGCAATCCACTGTGCTGGCCAGAACCAACTCTTGAGGGAGTCTATTTCACATTTTCACAGCTCTCACTGTGAAGAAACCTTTCCGTGTTTGGAGATTACATTTCTTTTCTTCCAGACGTAAAGAATGCCCCCTTGTCCTCTGTGATGACCTCAGGGTGAATAACTCTACACGGAGTTGACTATATGAACCACTGATGTATTTATACATGTTGATCATATCCTTCCTTAATCTCCTCGAGAGAGAGTAAATTAATTTCCTCTAATTTTTCCTACGAGCTGAGCTCCTCCATGCCTTGTATCAGTATAGTTGCCCTTCTCTGTACTTGCTCCAGTTTCCCAATGTTCTTTATGTGAATTGGTGCCCAAAACTGAACTGCATATTTCAGATGAGGTCTTACTAATGATTTGTACAGGGGTAATATGATCTCTCTCTCTGAAGTCAATACCTCTTTTAATACGAGAGGATTTTGCTTGCTTTAGAAGCCGCAGCTTGACATTGCATGCCATTATTAAGCTTTTGATCTACCAGAACCCCCAGATCCTTCTCCACCATTGATTCCCCCAGTTGTACCCCCCTAGTATGTATGATGCATGCATATTCTTAGCCCCCAAGTGCATAACCTTACATTTATTAACATAAACCTCATTTGCCACATAGTTGCCCAACTAAACAGAGCATTGAGGTTGGCTTGTAAGTTGAAGACATCCTGTAAGGACATTATTGCACTGCACAGCTTGGTGTCATCTGCAAAGATTGAAATGGAATTTTTAATCTCAGACCCTATATCGTTTATGAATATATTAAAAAGTAAGGGTCCTAACACTGAACCCTGGGGTACACCACTGATGACCCCAGACCATTCAGAGTATGAATCGTTAACCACTACTCTCTACTATTATTAAAAATGAAGGAGCATGCCCTATCTTAGTGGAAAAGTAGAAGTTTTAAGCAAAGACATCTTCTCTGTTAATTTTTTTCCTTAAGATCACTCATCCAGGGAGTGCAGACTGCACATAGACTGCAATACAATTATAATCCTCTGGATCATTTAAGAGTCAATGTCAAACCTATCTGTGCTTCAGAACTTGCTGTGAATGACAAACTGTGTTTCTTTAGGCAAATTGACTTCTTGGACCCGCTACTATTCTGGTCCATATGTGACAACACCTCTTGCACACTTCTTTCTTTCTTCAGTCTTCTACATTTGCATTTAAAAAACAGGTCTATTACCTTTTATAACAAGACAAAAGATCTCTCTGTGTGAGGACACGAGTTGTATTGTCTTCTTTTCACATTGTTCATTGTATTATCACATATTAAAAATGTAGTTTATTATTTATATTTATTGAGACATATCACTGTACACATTAATAATGTGTAATGGTATGTATAACATTACCAGCAGATGGCTGCTTTTTCTAAAAATTATCCCTGCTCTGGCTTCTTCACAGCCACCGGATACTGCCCCAAGTGGCTGCCATCCAGTGCTGTTAAGGGTATTAGCTGCAACTGCTACTGAGAAAAATTGCACCTTTCCAAATAATCAGATCAAATTATAGAAAAGACAGAGAGCCATTTAATTAGAGAGAGCCAGTTAATTAGGCATATACCTGTAAGGCTCATAAGAAACAGAGCTTTACTGAGTATAATAAGAAGCAACATCACGTTCACTGAGGAATGTGCCTAATTTATATATGACCAAAAATGTATATTGCCAAAAGTATTGGGACATCCCTCCGAATCCCCTCCATGACCACAGGTGTATAAAATCAAGCACCTAGGCAGGTCGCTCTCAGGAGCTCAGTGAATTCAAGTATGGTACCGTGATAGGTTGCCACCTGTGCAATAAGTCCATCCATGAAATTTCCTTGCTACTAAATATTCCACGGGCAACTGTTAGTGGTATTATAACAAAGTGGAATCAACTGAGAACCACAGCAACTCAGCCGCAAAGTGGTAGGCCACATAATATGACAGAGTGGGGTCAGCACATGCTGAAGCGCACAGTGCGCAGAAGTCACCAACTGTCTGCAGAGTTAATAGCTAAAGACCTCCAAACTTCATGTGGCCTTCAGACTAGCACAACAACAGTGTATAGAGAGTTTCATGGAACGGGTTTCCTTGGCTCAGCATCTGCATCCAAGCCTTACAGCACCAATGCAATGCAAAGCGCCGGATGCAGTCGTGTAAAGCATGCCGCCACTGGACTCAAGAGCAGTGAGACATGTTCTCTGGAGTGACGAATCACGCTTCTCTCTCTGGCAATCCGATAGATGTTTCTGGGTTTGGTGGTTGCCAGGAGAACAGTACCTGTCTGACTGCATTGTGCCAAGTGTAAAGTTTGGTGGAAAGGGGATCATGGTTTGGGGTTGTGTTTTCAGGGGTTGGGCTTGGCCCCATAGTTGCAGTGAAGGGAACTCTTAAGGCGTCAGCATACCAAGTCATTTAGCACAATTTCATGCTCCCAACTTTGTGGGAACAGTTTGGGAATGGCCCCTTCCTGTTCCTACTTGACGGCACACCAATGCACAAAGCAAAGTCCATAAAGACATGGATGACCAAGTTTGGGGTGGAGGAACTTGATTGGCCTGCACAGAGTCCTGACCGCAACCCGAAAGAACACCTTTGGGATAAATTAGAGCAGAGAATGCGAGCCAGGCCTTCTTTTCCGACATCACTGCCTGACCTCACAAATGCGCTTATGGAAGAATGGTCAAACATTCCCATAGACGCACTCCTAAACCTTGTGGACAGCCTTCCCAGCCCAGAAAAGTTGAAGATCTTATAGCTGCAAAGGGTGGGCCAACTCAATATTGAACCCTACAGATGGGATGCCATAAAAGTTCATGTGCATGTAAAGGCAGGCGTCCCAATACTTTTAGCAATATAGTGTATAGTGTGTATGTATGTATATATATATATATATATATATATATATATATATATATATTCAGTACATTTATTCAACATGTACATCTTCCCATATTTTGTATCTTTAAAAATTCTGTTATTACAGTAAAATACCAGTTAAACCAGTCAGAAATCTAGAGCGCTCATGTCTTTCTCTCTAAGCTGATAAAACAGTGACCCTGCTGCTCTAAACTCCCATGCAATTTTGTCAGCTCTGCCCCGTTGTCTTCTGCTGGAATACAAAACACATTTCCTATATATTATGGAGATGAGGGAAGTAAGGAATGTTTTGAAGTCCAAACACATTTCTGCCTAAGAGTGACAACTCTGCTCATCCATGGATACAGTACAATGAGTGAGAGCTGTCAATATAAGTGTGTTAAAAGTGAAAAAAGTGACATAACATATCAACATCTGTTTAGGGCAGTGACCATAGTGCTAAAACACTAGATATCATTATACTTGCTTTTGCCATGTCCATACCACCCTTTCGCACCAAGTACAGTTCTGGTGGGTTATCAACATGCAGCTTGCCAACTGCTCATTGCATACATTTAAATAAATAACTTGGACAGTACACATGCAGGTTATAAATTGTAGTTAATTTTCAGGCAGTCGCTGGGATTCTATAACCTGTCAGTCACTTACTGTGCTCACTCTAACTACCCCACTCACAAAAATTGAGAATGGTTAGCAAACAATTTTCATAAATGTAAAAGGTGGTTCTCTACAAATGCCTTATTATTGCCTATGGTCAGCATTTTGGATGCTTCTTGACTTCTCCCTAAATGCTTATCACTGCTTACTAAACATTACGGAAAATCTATAGGTATTTGGTAACTGACTGAACAATTCATTAGTGAGTACCTAACTCAGACGCATGCAGGATTGTAAAATGCACCAAAAGCATGTTGTGACTTAAACTACTTTACAACCTCCCAACTCGATGCAATCTCATATTTTATATTTTACCCGACCATCTATCAGCTAAAAAAAGTTATGCCACCAATTAGCCACTGAGGTACTTAAAGCAGAGCTCCAGTCGAAATCCAAAAAATGGATGCCGCAGCTGGTTTCACCGGCCGTCCTCTCTCCCTCAGTGCTGGCATCCTATGTGTGTGCACCCAGCTGTGACAACTTGCAGCTTCACAGCCGAGTGCCCACTGTGCATGCGCGAGTAGTGCTGCACCTTATGAATGTTCTCATAGTCTTCTGGGACCTGTCATGCATCCCAGAAGACTACAGGGCGGGAGGGAGGACAACTTCCAATCAGTTAGGTGATCGCAGTGGAAGTGGGAGCTGATACCTGTCAAAATCAGGTACCTGCTCCCCCCACTCTCCAAAGGTACCAATCCTTTACGGGGAGAAGGAGATGAGGGCTTCAAGTGGAACTTCCCCTTTTGGGTGGAGCTCCGCTTTAAGAACAGCCACAGCAGCATAAGTTGGTGCTAATTTTAGGTGAGATCAACATTTTTTCCACAGCTCAGATTGCAGACAGTAGTATGTATTGTAAAATAGCTTAGCTTTGTAACAGTTTATTTCTTCTTTTAACAAAACGCTATAATCAAGCATTATAGGGATTTTAAATAAATTAAGTATAGCGAAGTTTCAATATACAGCATATAATGCAATTCTACAAAACTAAACAAAAAAATATTTCAAAAACAAATCATGGCATTTCAAGAATTTACCTTACTGAAAATGAAATCTGTTGGATTATTTTAATATTTTGTTTTTTGTTTCTGATTAATTCATGCACTTACCTATATAGGCTACATTAGTGCAAGCAAAGGAAACATTTACACAAGGGGATCATATAATGGTGTCTGCTCATTTTACCAGTGAAAAAGGCTTCCATTATCCAGTCATCCTCACTTTTGACATCCTGGTTGGAGATCAATCAATATTAACTTGGTATAGAAGCCTCTGACTCCTTTGTAGTTCTTGAACCCCTTGGCCACATATAGTGGCAGGAATGAATGATACTTATTTCCATCGGAAATTTACAGCTAGGTAATTTTTGAAATAGCAGATTCCATTTAACTGTTTCAAGTTTTATTTCCAATAATTGACTAATGTATTTTAACTTCAACTTCTAGCCTTAAAGCACAACTGAACTTTCGGTTGAAATCAGCAAGCAGTTATACCAGGATTATGGCTGGTACTACTTTTTAATGCTAGCTTTACAGCTGCCCGATAATTTTTACAGTGCAGAGGAACCCCCCTGCCATTTTCGATCTCTTCTATTCCACCAGGGAGCCCAGGACCACTGTAAGCAGTCAGGTTAGCTGCCCACAGAGGAGATGGAGGAACACCCATTCCCAATCTCCTCTGTGATGAATAAAGCCAGAAGTGTGAGAGCTTCATAACTTCAGTTTCAGAACTAACAAGGGGCTAACAAGATGCTTGTTAACCTCTTGTGATACCAATAAAGTTAAATGAAAAAAGCGTAAAAAAAATGAAATAGAATTAATAAAAATAATTTAAAAATGCAAACAGGCACATAGTTTGGACACACATATGTAGATGGCGATGAACCTACCATATGAGGTACCACTGTGAACATTAGAATAAGAGCAATAATTCTAGTGCCATAGCTCATGTTTACCTCTAAACTGACATTCTGTAAATGCTTTTAAATTATTTACGTCTCTGGACAATTTAGGTACTGTATTTTGTCACCATTTCACAGGTGTGCACAATTTTAAATATTAACATGTCAAGAATCTGTCTGTGATATGTTTAGAATCAACCAGTATAAAGCTGCAAGCATGATGTGACTAATGCTAGCCATACACTAGTCAAAAAAATAGTTTGAACGGGTTTTCAAAAGACGAACACATGGTCGTGAGCGCAAACAATATTGCCATCATGTAGTGAAAATTACTTGTGCGCTGCCTGAATGCAAAACCTAAAACCTTAATGTGAATGTGTATTATTAAAGAAGAAGAAAAGGATACAAGAGAGTGCTGCTGTTCCCCTGCTGTGTGACACTTCACAGTGTAATAATGAAATGAATATATTAATGGTACAGTGCAATCTCAACACATACTATGTAGGTTCTGATAATCCTATATGTGTTATTACCACAACCTCAGTGCTGCAACTCTTATTTAAATGTACATATCTTTACATTTTCATAAGGTGAAACTATATAAGCATCATAAATCCCAAATCAGTGCACATATAGTAAATCTCATACATCATAATCCAGAAAAGACAGGAAGAAAAAATAAATATAAATGAATTAATGTGAAAATAATACCAGCGTAAAGTGCATAACTATACAGACAATTATCTCAAAAGTCCACAAAATGCATGAAAAATCAGTGTGCTGATAAATATCCATGTGATATCAATCATTAATTCCAAGAAACTTCACCCCTGTGATATGCAATTTCTACTGTGCTCCACCATCTGTGCAGAGTTGCTGCTCATCTTCATATGTGACCCATACTCTCATATAGGTTAAACATACTTGTGTAGCAGATTCAAACAGGCTAGGTGCTGCTCTTCCTCCACTCCTGGATCTCTCCAGTGGGTATTAAAAGATCTCAGTATATGCTCATAGGGAAGCATAAAAGAAGGGGGGGAACCCGACATCATGCTCCAATGTGTTGCGTATCAGGTCACATGACTTCCTCAGGGATGGGGGTCAGATGACCGTCGGCCAGAATATATAAGGACGGGAGTGTATTACACTTATATGTTAACCGCAATGCTATTTTACTGCTGGTGTTACCATCAATTTACCAATAAGATGGCAGTATCATTGTAATTCTGATGTATAGATCAATAGTCAAAGCGGCTTGCAATATTGCAATTTTAGGGTATTAGTACATCCAGTTAATAATAGGTAAATGCTTTAAACTATAAATATTAATATTCCCATTATTTACAGTAAGTGAATGCCATAGGTGTATAAATAAAAATCATAAAAAGTTACAGTCAGGTCCATAAATATTGGGACATCGACACAATTCTAACATTTTTGGCTCTATACACCACCACAATGGATTTGAAATGAAACGAACAAGATGTGCTTTAACTGCAGACGGTCAGCTTTAATTTGAGGGTATTTACATCCAAATCAGGTGAACGCTGTAGGAATTACAACAGTTTTCATATGTGCCTCCCACTTGTTAAGGGACCAAAAGTAATGGGACAGAATAATAATCATAAATCAAACTTTCACTTTTTAATACTTGGTTGCAAATCCTTTGCAGTCAATTACAGCCTGAAATCTGGAACGCATAGACATCACCAGACGCTGGGTTTCATCCCTGGTGATGCTCTGCCAGGCCTCTACTGCAACTGTTTTCAGTTCCTGCTTTTTCTTGGGGCATTTTCCCTTCAGTTTTGTCTTCAACAAGTGAAATGCATGCTCAATCGGATTCAGGTCAGGTGAATGGCTTGGCCATTGCATAACA